TTTAAAAAATCGAAAGCGAAGCAGTATATTGAAGATTTTTTGTTGAATTGTTGGTCCTGCCAGAAGTAAGTCGTTCAGAGAGCTACCAGAAGTTGATTTGGCAGATCCATCAAAAACGACACGAAGCTTCGTACTCGTGCTCTCCTGCTTATGTACGCAATGATGGGGCAAAAAGAATTGTGTTTCTGGCGGTTCCTTAGTTACAAGAGACATGTGACCTAGATCGATATACTCCCTCAAAAATGCTGAGTACTGAGCCTTCACGGCTGGGTTTCTATCTAATTTAGCTTCCAAACTCTTGAAACGACGACGAGCCATGCAATAAGAATCACCTAAAGATTCGAATCCGGAAGTGGTCAAGAGACGAACAGAGTATTGGGCGTTTCCAAGTCGAATGCAATTTTCAGTAAAAAGTTGCTCACATCGCAAGTCTTCCGGCAATAAAGATGGCTTAGACGAAGTGAAGTCCTCAATTTCCCAAAATCGCTTTACAATGGCGGAAAATGTGCCATCGGAATGATCAGCTGGGTCCTTGCTGCTGGCTTGTAAAACCGATTTATGAGTTGGCATGTTCGATGATAACCCTCCAGAGACTATCCAACCAAGCTTGGTGTTCTGAAGAGTTGGCAAAGCCCTATCCAAATGAATTTGTCTCATAGAAATTATTTCGAAAAACAACCCAGAGCCGAGTAAAAGGTCAATTCGTTGTGATTGATTGAAATTAGGGTCAGCGAGGGAAATGTTTTGCGGTATCCTCCACGATGTTGCATTTATATTGAAATGGGGTTGATAATCAGTAATGCTGTGAGTCACAACCGCTGTGAATGCCGCACGATAGCTTGCATCCCGTGATTGCACAAGAATATCGACAGTCTTATCAGAGATCGTGGAAGATTCTCCAATCCCAGAAATCGACGTTTGCGATCTTCTGTGATTCAAGTTTAGTTGGCTAGCTAAGCGAGAGGTTATGAAGTTTAGCTGGGAGGCCGAATCTAAAATTGCTCGGCAAGGCATAAATGCTCCAATTCTATTTCTGACGTAGATAATAGCAGTTGGAAGCAACACGTAGTCGATCGGCAAAATATTTAAGGTTTTGGGTGGAGGGCTTGGTAAATGATGATCAGGATGCGATGATGTATGCGAACATGATACTATTGCTGATGAAGTAGATGGTAATGGCTGAGAGCTCGAGGATGGGTCGCATGATGGAGATGAAAATGAGGTTCATGTTGCGGATGGGTCATGGTTCATGTGTAATAATGAATGGTGCTTCATGCGACAATACTTGCAGTGAGTCGACTTGCATTGCTGCAAACTATGCCCCTTGCGCAAACAGTTGAGGCAAAGGTGCAACTTCTTTGCTTCTCTATATTGAAGATTCGGACTCAAATTTAAAAATCGAGAACACTTTGGCAAATAATGATCCCGTGCATCGCAAAATAAGCATGTCAAATGATTTGAGTTAGTAGCAGATGCAATAAGTGTATTTTGGTTATATTTGTGCAAGTTTTTTCCCACCTGCTGGCCTGGTGTTTGAGTTACCAAGGCTTGATCCAAGTTTTCCATCATCCTGCACATCTTTTCCAAAAACGACTCCATAGCATCCCAGGTAGACAGCTCAGTGATTGACAAATCCTCTTCTCATTTTTCCCGCGTCCTCTGATCCAGTTTCCGCGTGACGACGTGAATTAAAAGTCCATCCAAAATTTGTTGCGTATTGGCCAGGGTTCGAATTGCTCGCAGATACGAATTCATGCAATCGCTCAGCTCCCGAAGACCCTTCGAAGATTCCTTCTCGACACCCTTTAAACCGAATATTTCCTGAACATGTGCCTGAAAGTGTAAAACTTTATTATCAAATCGATTAACCAGCAAATTCATAGCCATTTTAAAATTAGCGTTCGAGGGTTCGAGCGAGCGTATGGTTTCCAGAGCCACGCCGCCCAAACTCAAACGCAAATATTGTAATTTTTCAATGTCGCTTAGCTCATCATCATTTCCGATGACCGTAGTGAAAGTCGCAAGAAAATCCGGCCACTCAGAGTACGAGCCATGAAAACGAGCAATTTCCAAATTTGGCAACCGAGGCTTCCTAGATCGAAAAGAAAGATCCTCATTATTAGTGATGTCAATAGATGTTGAATTTGCAGCGGTTGAATCCGGCAATTGTGACTTGCGATGAGCCGCCAAGCCTCGGCTTAGTTTCGCCTTCACATCCATGAAGACTTCAGCAAATTCAATCCGATGGTCGCTCGAGATCTCTGCAAAATCCAGTCTTTCCAACGATGTCTGTGCAGAATCAAATGCCTGGTTTAAGGAATTGATCCATTCCATTCGCGCCAGCAAATCAGCTTCGTCAAACTGATTAACCGCATCAGCGTTTAAATAGCATTTCATCGAGCTCATTTGCCGCAAAATAGATTGGGCTTTGACTCGGTAGTAGTCGACGTCACTTGTGGATTCATTTTGAGCCCGAACCGAGTTTTCCGTATCAGACATTTTTCAATCACGAGAAAGGAAAAAAAAATGAAATGAAAATGAAATATAATAAAATGTCCGACCGCGTTAGAGGCACAAAACACCGTATACCCTTTGCCGCGAAAACGTGAAGGTTAACAAGCGTCGTCGAGATGCAACGGAACCTTTAACTTGGTTGTTGTTGTTCTTGCCGATAAATTGCCTGCCTAGCAACAGCGGATTATGTAACTGGCAAACGAATGTATGTATGGCTATATGTACATATATATATGTAATATGCGCTATTAACAAAGATTAAATGCGATTCACTTTGTTAAGAATTGTTTGCACAACACAGTTTTGGTGTTTTTTCACAGCGCAAAATGTACAAAAAATCAAACGTCCGGGTGTGCACTTTTATATGCACATATATATGAATGTTCGTGTGTTTGTGACCGAATGCACGATAACGACAGCGAAACAAAGCGTTTGTTTAAACTATATTAAACAATCGCGAGACCGAGCTGCAGACTCCGATAAAAACTGCTATCACGTCGGGGTCATCAAATGTTTATGGGGAAGACAACAAATATTCCACCCTTATAGTTATAATTAATAACGCACGAATAGGTTATATTATAATGTATAGCGTTTATTCGGAGCGGCAGACGGACTGTGAATGTGTAAAAAGCTTGGCTCCAAGATCTTCATATAGGCATATGCAGGCTTACAAAGTAGTTGCTGAATAGATAAGCGACAGCTTTAGTGGTATAAGAAAGAAGGCGAAAGATAAGCACAGAGCGCTGCAGGTGCCGTCGTACACCTATGCGCGCATGACTAGGCGCTGGCAATCTGCTCCGAACAGTTTGTGACATCCGTCACAATTTTAAGGGGCATATGTTCTAAATATACTCTAAAACGACGAAGAGCTTAAATAATCGCAGGTGTTTCGAGCTCGAAACTGTGGTACCTTGATTCGGCTGTCGAAGCCTTTAATGAATAATAAAAGACTGGATTCATTTTGCCATCGTTCTGTCTCTGCAATAAAACTGCTCCAAAACCTCGAGAACTTGCGTCAGTATGTAATTCCGTTTCACGATTAGGGTTAAATATTGAAAGTATTGGCGGAGATGATACACGATTTCTTAAGTCCTTAAAAACTTTCATTTGTTTTATCCATCGGGAACGGTCCTCCTTTCTTTATTAGTTCAACTAATGGTCGGGCTGTACATGCATAAGACGGAACAAATCTACGAAATTATCAGAAAATACCTAAACAAGAGTAAAGTTGCTTTGTATTATTCGGAACAGGATAATTTTGTATAACTTCTAAATCCGAATCATTAGGCAAAATCCCTTTATTGCTGACACTGTACCCTAAATAATCTATTACCTTGCTTAAAAATTCTTAAAATTGATTTCTAAATGAAGTTTTGCTAATCGTTCCAGCAATTGTACCAAGATTTCAAAGTTTTCCTCTACTGTTCTTGTAACTACTACTATATCGTCCATGTAAACAACAATTTTGCGATTTCTAACCAAGTCCATCAGACTGTTAGAAATAAATCGCTGAAATACTGACGGCCCATTTCGCAATCCAAATGGCATTCGCATATGCTCAAACTGTCCTTGTGGCATTACAAAAGATGTATACCTTATAGAACTTTCTTTAAGAACGACTTGATGGTACCCACTTTTTAAATAAATAACCAAAAACAATTCTTTCCCTCTAAATACTCGAGACAATCTTCTATTAAAGGCAAAGGGAAATTATCACAAACTGTGCACTTATTAAGGCTTCTGTAATCAACACATAATCTGATTTCACCGGTTTTTTTAAACTAATACAATTGGGGAGGCAAATGGTGAATTACTCGAACGTAGTATGTTATCGTGTAACAACTCTTCAATTATTTTCGAAACTTTATCTCGTTCAAAATATGATAGCCGTCTAGGCTGAAAATGAAAAGGAGTATCACTTATTAGTTTTGTACTCATTTTGCAAACAGGTTCAGCTAATTTCCTACTTAAAACATTTCAATAACTTTCACAGATCAACTTACAGCATTACAGATTTGTATTCAACTCTGTTGTAAAACCTGCACACAAATAATCCATGTCATTCATCCACTGCTCAATTTGGGAATTCACGGTAATTAATTGACCAATGTTTATCTTATTGTCTATTGTATTATAAAACAGAGATGCACAAGAAGTAGTTAAATCAAATTTATTATTATCCAATACTGACATTTTTCCATAGTCTGAGTTTCTTTGGATTAATTGTAATTGTAAAGCGTCAAAAGCGTTTCTGACAAGAATCATAGCAACAGGTAATACATCATCGTGAACAACAAAAACTTCAATTTCATAAACTTTCAAATTAAACTTAACATAGCATTTAACTGCGCCGCATAGCAACATATTTCTTCCATAAATTCTACGGTATTTACTCGCGAATGGGTTGGCTAACGTAACATCTTTTGGCAAATTTGATTTTCTTACGAAGCTAACCGGGCTACCGGTATCAAAAAGAACGTTAATTACTATAAATTCTGTGCATCTAAGTTCATTTATATTAAAACTTAGAAAATGTTTACCAATTATGTCAGCAACAGCTTCATATCATGAACGCTCGAAGTACCACGACCAGCGTAAGAATTTGGCAGTCATAAGTGGATTTGATCATACTCTATCAAACGGTGACGCAATTGATCAAGACTCTCGCAAAAATAAAGAAACGCATTAATACCACTCGTGTCGTTTAATCCGCCAACAATGTGCTTAATTAAATCACGATCTTCCGACTCAGCTTGGCGTGCAGTACTGCACATGGATTAGGTTAGGGCGGCTGTCGGACTATAGCCCGCCACACTTAGACCTCTATGGGTCCATTGTGATATAAAGTACACATGGATATAAAGTATTGAAATGCAGTTTCACTTTTTTTCTTACGGCGTCTGAGCTACTCACATATCTCCAGTTTTGTGTTTTTACGTCCAAAAACATCCATCATCGGAGTTCGCATAGCATCCCAATCAGCAGCACCTTGATAAGCGAAGTAACTTTTTGCTGGTCCAATAAGAAGACGCCTCGCATATAACCAATAGCGATTGAGTGGTACTCCCAACACTGCATTTGCAGTTTCAAACTCTTCAATCCATAATTTGACAGGAATGTCATCCTCTCCCGAAAAGGGCTCCACTACCGCCATTATATCCGCGATATCACCCCGTGAAAATTTTGCGGCCATTTTTGTAGCAACTTGGTTCCGCTCTATGTCGCTTAGCGTTGTTTGAAGTCCCGCTACTCCTCGACAAACATCAGCTCGAAACGTGCGTTTATCCAGTCCAATCTGAGCTACGTGCTGCATAAGAGGTTCTGCATGGGCTATCTTGTCTTGTATGTCGGTGTAACCTCCCGCAGCTTGATCTTCAGACACGATTTTGCTTGTCTGGTGCCGCGAAACTATGCTGCCGCCAACAGCCTGATCTTGCAACACAATGTTGTTTGCAGGTGCCTGACCATGTTCATCATCCGGGCCAGCCTCATGCTTGTCGCTTATTTTGAACAAAGTGTTTGCCGCAATGCGCAATTGGTGTATGGAAGCCCCGACGTCAAAATGCACTTCGTTGGCTCTCAATAGCTGTAATAACTCTTCCTTTGATTGCTTCAATATATCAGAATACAACATGGGTACTATATGTGAAAGCTATGGACAATCACCCCACACCTGAATTGTAAACGATGCTTTTTAATTTAATGATTTTATTTCTTCTCTTTTAATGTTCCGCGTGTTCTCTCTTCTTCTTCAATTACAAGTGGCCTATTTATCTCGACAATCAAGTTCACCATGTAATCGATATCTGTTATCTCATCGATGTATAATATAAATTTACATTAGTAAGTACACACTAAAATTCAATGCAAAATATAACATTATGTTCACACTTAATACTATTTAGTATATATTCACATATGTTTACTTTAGTATATATATGCATATATGTTTACAACAGAAATTTCACACTAAAATACAATGCATAACATTATGTTCACACTTAATACTATTAAGTAGATATTCACATATGTTTACAACTAAAGTGTATTGTTCTCATCAATACCTATCGATTGACCCAAAAAAAAAAGTTTGCCACGCGCACTCTTACGCCCACAAACCGCCTAAACCTGCTAGAAATAGATTTTTGCTGATATGTATTAGTCAATACCTATCGATTGATTGAAAATAAAATTTGCCACGCCCACTCTAACGCCCATACAGCTTAAATCTGTCTACCGCCCACATAACCATATATTGAGATCACGGATAGGGGGTGCATTTCAATCTCGCCTCGAGGTACTTGTCTATAGCGTACTTCCTTGTTTTTTAATAGAACCGCCATATGATTTTATATTGCTAAAGCCTAGTACTCAGATCGACGAAAACCGCGAGCTAACCATAGGAGTGAGCGAGAGGCAGATACGCGGCTAACGCTTTTCGTCGGGTCTGTTTTTCAGCGCGGTACTCAGATGAGCTAAGGAAGTACCTGTAGCGCTGGTAGCCAAGTGGGAACAGATCGGAGCTGGCGCCATCTGTGGGTTGGTTGCCAAACTAGGAATAGGGGTAAGAGAAAGCGTATAAGGTCAACAGGGCGAAATGTCAGTTGTTTTCTGCTGAGAGCGGTTTTCTTTTCGGCTGTTAAGGGGTTTGCCGCCATTGGCAAGCGGCATTAGCGTTCTTTTCCATTTCAACCTTCCACCGATTAAGTCGTGAAAACCATCGCAAAAATTTAAGTGGTTTAATTTCGCGAAGACTTTAAAAAGGAAAAGGGACCGAATTTAGTCATTCCCGCCGAGTCCTATGATTTGGGTGAGTTAAAAATAAATAAACAAGATCTAAAGGGTCCGATCAGCAGCACTCTATGTGATTTATAGGGGCTCGGCGATTGTAAAACTAAAAAAATAACCAAAAGAAGAAAAGTTACGATATTCGACCGGCGGGAACACCTTGGATCTCATCCAGCTGAGTGCACTAGAAGTTCTCATTGGAGTGCGATTTGGAGAGGGCCACCAGTATTTACGCGACTTACGATCGGCGCGCAGCACGTTAAAATCGCTGGACGACGGAAGGGTGTAATCTTTCTTTTTGCGAGGTTATAATTTTACCCTGTGGCGACTCTGTTTTAAGCTGGGGAAAACCAGTCAGAAAACCCCATTAAATTGTGCCCGTAAGGGATTCTAAAACCGATCGCGGAAAAGCCGTCGGAAAAAAAGAAAGAAAGACCCATTTAACCTCACATATTGGTGGGAAGCAAAAAGAGAAGTGGAAAAAAGAAATTAGAGAGCGAAAAGAAGAGAGGCGGAATAGAGCCGAGCTCAATTTTTTATTTTTTTGTTAATTATAAGTAATATTTTTTTTTGTTATATGTTCTTTTAAGGTGTATTATGTGAATTGGTAAATTGTTTGAGCTTTTCGGAATGCTGCCAAAACTCCGGTGTTGATTTCCCATTATCAAAAAGGAAAAGAAAGATTGCATGGCAACTTACCCCATCTAATAGAGAAGAAGATTTTATAAAAAAAAAAAAAAAGAAAATGAAAAAGTGAAAAAGCCCCTGTGTCCCCAAAGACTTTATTCTTTTCGCAGCATTTTCAGCCGCCTTCGGAAAAAGCGCTTTCTTCGAGGATGCCGCTGGAAAATTGGTGAGCTTTTATTTTATATAAAAACCTATTGGATTGACATATATTTTGTGGCGATTTCAAATTCATTTTTAATTTTTTTATTATGTGGCGTGAGCGTGCTTTTAAAAATCAAAAGAAAACTCTTTAAAATTTGGCAAATCATTTTTTTTGTACATGTAATGCCATTTATGTAATGGTAAAAAAATGTAAAAAAGATAATCGAGAATTTGAGTGAGAACCAATACCGTAGATTTGGAGCAGCAGAAACCCACTCAACGCGCCAATGTTGTAAATTGCCTTTGCGGCTGCGCCCAAAGTTTTGATTTGGCATGCAAATGAGAACGGTTACATGATAACGTAAAGCAAAGTAATTACGAAACTAAAGTAAAGCATATCAGCAGCCCTATCCTATTCGAAATATTTATAAGCCACATTTATCGCATCTATCCCATATTTAAAAGAAATTATTTATGCTATTTATTATATTTTATGCTATTTATTATATTATGATATTTTATCTTTGTATTATCTCTATATTGTCCACTTGCACTCAATGATAGTTTTAGTCCGTATTTTGGGCGATGTTCATTTTTCTAGGATTTTAATTTGTTAGTTGATAAATAAAATGTTTATAACGTTGTAAATTAAGTGTTTGTCCTCGGCGGACATGAGACCCCCGTAGAGCCAAAACCGCGAAGGGGCCGTTCTGCGTGCGCTCTAACCCGTCCGTAACACCCAGCCTCAGTTTTTTTATTTAGCGGATGTTCGTTACATTCATAAATAATTAGTTGTTAGTATGATTATTATAATTATTCTGGCGCCCAACGTGGGGCCCGAAATTTTCAGTCTACCACCCACACACTTCTACACCCATCAACATTTGTCTTAAAAATACAATTTTATTTTAAAGTTATAGAAATATCGTTCCGACGCATCTTTATACTTGTCCGCATTCATTTTGTCTTTGCAAAAGCACAATCAGGCGCTTGGAAAACGGTGTTCAGAATTACGAGCAATTTGTCATCGGCCACGACTGACGATATGCAAAAACATTTTTATATATTTTTCCTTTCTTTTATGGTTGAGTACTTTAACTTTTACATTCGGCCGCATAGGATTTATAGGCTTGCAGTTATTATTAACAGTTCGCCTAGCCACGGCTGATGTCGAAAACAGGGTATTCAATTCCGTCGTATATTGACATAAATCAGTACTCGGTCAAACGCTTTGGATGCACTTAGAAAATTCTTTAAAAAGAAATTAAGTGCCCACGTGCTAAGACTAGCTGATAAGATCAGTGTATAAGGGCATAGGGCGAAATCGTTTGGAACGCAGTCCGAGCGGACCGCTCACTGACCACGATTTGCATTGAGGTTTTGTTGTTGTTGCTTATTTGTAGATAAGCGCAGCCCATACGCATGCCCAGTTATTTTTTTTCCAATTCTTTAAACACCTGCCTGGTCTTAAATTTGGTTTTCGCAGGGGAATTAGTCACGCTAGAGGCAAACGATTTTTGCTTGAGAAATTTAATTTTTGGTTTTCGCTAAAACACTATTTTTGTTCTCAGTGTTTTTGTTCGGTTCTTATACATACATTAATGTACATGCACTTGTAATAAAGCTGAGCGATAAGCAAGTAAACAGCTGGTTTTACGTTTGAGGGCATTGAACTCTTGAGATAAGAATCCGAGTCAAAGGAAAACAAGAGAGCATTGTGTTTGCTTTGACATTTGATTTGCATAGAATAAATCCTAGTTTTAATCATATTTATTTAGGAATTTTCTTCTCTTATAAGGATCAGTTTGTGTAGAGCTCCTTATTGTTTATTTTAGTTATTATTTAGTCGTTCAGATTGAGATTAAAAGATGTCTGAGGAGGAAAACAGTAGTGTTGCGCCACCACCAGAATGCGTTCTGTGTGGGAAAGCGTTAACAGCTTCAACAATTTTTAGAACCAAATGCGCGCACGAATTTCACAAATCGTGTATAGCAATTTATGCCAAAAAGAAACCTACTTGTCCAACCTGTAGTACAGTCTGTTTTGAGAAGCCGGCTACGCCCAATACCAGGTCGCAGGGTAAAACAAATTTGGATAGTCCAGGAACTACAGCTGGCTTGACTCAGTCGGCTCGCCAACCGTCGGATTCAAATGCTGGTCAAACCGAATCCTTAACAAATACCATATCAGAGGCCGTTCGAGGAATGCAAAGCGAGTTAATGGCCCAGTTATCAAGGGAAATGGGACAGCTAATTCGGTCAACTATAGCAGCTCAATTACAACCGATTAGTGAACAGCTATCTCAACGCGGTGGTCCTTCTGCCAGTGGCCAACCATCGCCTGGTGGATTTCCGGAAATAAACTTAGACACTGATCTTGGTTTTGCTGGCAGCCACGGTCCTGGACCAGGATCGCAGCGAAGTTTTGTCTCTGACTTAGCGCAAAGGCCAGATAAGGTTGCGCACATCTTGAATGGTTGGAAGATTCGATTTAGCGGAAATGAAGATGGTCTCAGCGTTGATAATTTTATATACAGGGTTGAAGCTCTCACTCGTCAGACACTTGAAGGGAATTTTACCATTCTATGCAGTAATGCAAGCATGCTTTTTGAAGGCAAGGCCAGAGATTTTTATTGGCGGTTCCATAAAACATCTCCAGTGCTGAGATGGGATCTGCTTTGTCAAGCTTTTAGGAAGCAATTTGGAGATACCCGTACTGATGTTGACATTAGGGAAGCTATTCGTGATCGCAAGCAAAAAGAGAAGGAGAACTTCGACAGCTTTCACGACGCAATTATGCAGATGATGGATGGATTGGGGGTGCCTTTGGAGGAGTTCACAGTAGTCGATATTCTGAAGAGAAATTTGAGACCAGAAATAAGGCACGAATTGCTAAATGTAACCATTCATTCTGTGGATCGTTTGAGGGAAATTTGCCGTCGCCCTGAGAGTTTCCTAGACGAGGTTAGGAAAAATCAAGGTTACCAAAAGGTAGTTCCTTTTCGGAGACAGGTGGCTGAGCTGGTAGAAGAAGAGGATCTCGATGGGCGTGTAATGTTTTCAGATGATGATGAATTCGAAGTTGGCGCACTGGCTTTAATTTGCTGGAACTGTCATAAAGAGGGTCATCGC